TCTCTCTCTCTCTCTCTCTCTCTCTCTCTCTCTCTCTCTCTCTCTCTCTCTCCCGTTCTCGCTCTATTGTCGCCAGTTTTAATTTTACTTTTGGTGGCTGGAAAAAGTAAATACTTTAGATGAGGAGAGGAGCGAAGAGGAGAGGGGGCCTACCCTTGACTTTTGTGTCTGCATTTGCACTTTTTGTGATTTTTATGTCTTTCTATACTTTTATATCTATCTAACTATCTATCTTTGAGATTTGATACTTTTATTGCCATTCTTGATGCTGACGACGGCAGCATATTATTGCCTAGCACCAAAAGCAACAGCAGCAGCAGCAGCAGTAGAAAAGGAAAACATCAACACCAACATCAGATTGACAGTGTCTCTGTTTGCCTCTGTCTGTGTCGGTGATTGAGCTTGGTGATAGACATGTTTTCCCTCCTTTCCTCTCCCACCCTCCCTTTTCCCTTTCCTCTCTGCCAGTGATAATCAAATCAAATCAGACAGTACAACTTCTGTACAGCTGTACAGTGCAAGACACTGTACACTTGCTGTACCACTGGCTGGCAGCAAGTCAAGATTGGTGCAAAGCACAGTGGAAGTGGATACGATAATGCTAAGCGACGCGTGGCACTATAGTATTATTTTGCAGAACACAACTTTTCCTAACTTATCTTTTCCCTCTTTCTCTCTAGATCACTGTACGTGACCTTTGCCGAGGAGTCCACCTACAAGGGCATCCCCACGCTGGTCTTCTCTACTCCGGACGAGCTGCTGGCCGGCCGGAGGACCAATCCCGACAATGCCTGTTTCTGTTTAGAAGAAGATGAAGACGTGGCCGAGGAACGGTGCACCCTGGACGGCATCTTTGACATGTCCGGCTGCCAGGACGGCATCCCGCTGATTGTCTCGCTGCCGCACTTTCTCGGCGGCGACAAGCGAATCACCGAGAAGATTGAGGGTCTCAAGCCAAATGCCACCAAACATCNTGTCCGGCTGCCAGGACGGCATCCCGCTGATTGTCTCGCTGCCGCACTTTCTCGGCGGCGACAAGCGAATCACCGAGAAGATTGAGGGCCTCAAGCCAAATGCCACCAAACATCGACCCGAGCTGCACGTTGAACCGGTAAGTGCTTGCTTGTTTTTAAACGCTCACCTTTTTCAACTTTGACTAATTGGCCAATGCTTTCACCTTTTTCTCT